ATATATATATATATATATATATATATATATATATATATATATATATATATATATATATATATATTTTAAAAATTTAAATATTCAGTGAGAAATCTTACCTCTCTACAAGGATCCATCATCCCGCAGTTATATCCACAATAACCAGGGTCACAAATGCACTGATAAATCCCTGGTAGATTTTCGCACCGCCCGTGACCACAATTTGTGGTTGGATCTTGACATTCGTCAATGTCGTAGGAACAATCAGGCCCTACGTAGCCAGTATCAGTGCAGTCGCAAGTGAAGTTGTTCACACCGTCGTAGCATTTCCCGTCATTTTTGCAGGGTACATTTCCTTCAGCATCGGGCGCGCAGTCGTCAATATTAATTTCGCAATAAAGTCCGGAGTAACCGAGTGGACACGTGCACCGAGGTGCCTGTTAATTAAATGTAATGCGAATGAAATTAGAAACTGATTCTTAATGAAATACAAGGTGTTTTATATCGCGCGCAAAAGTTTATAAAAGTATGGATGCCATTTCATCATTTCTCCAACTGCAGATGCTTCTTCAATAACTTCTAGTTCACAATTAGTTTGTATTTTTAAAGAAATAACATAAGCTGCAAATATAGTAATAATACTGTCCAATATATTTGGAATTCTTCTATGGTTTTTCTTCTATTTTTCGACATTGAGAAGTTTAGTATTCAATTGTTATTTTCAATTTAAAGTGTTTATCGTGACATAACTATGAAAACTGTTTATGTAACTGTAGTTATGTATACACTATTCTAAATATATATGTATATTAATAAAAGTTAGTTAAAAATCATGCAATAGCTGATCTGATTGAAAATGTAAGATATATCACTAATTTACTAATAATAGTTTACCAATATTAGTTTACCAGTTAACTAATCACTATCACACTTTAATAATAAATATATTTTCTTATAAAATTTTTAATATACTATCTAATTATTAAAAATTTAATTGGGTACCTAAATCACGCTTTTATGTTTGTAAAATTTATTATAAATATTGACAATATACAGATACAAATCGGAATTGACTCCATACTTGTATGACGAGGGTTAATGGAATAAACCTCACGCTTATAGTATTTTTATTCGTAGTCTATAATTTAAATATACAGGGTGAATACGAAGGAAGGTTAATAACTCTAAAATTAGTAGCTGCTTTGTTTCGATTAAAGCGGTCGACTTTCTTCGGGAGCAATCGTACCATATGGGAACAATTGATTATCTTATCGTTTACTTTTCTCCTTATTCTAATGACATGATTATTACAATACTTCGTGTTGCATATGTATAGGTTGAAAAGACAAATAGTCCATTGTTCTTATACGATATGATAGTACCCAAAGCGAGAAAGACACTTGCTTAAACCAAAACAAGAAATAGTTTATAACTTAGAAAATATTCATTCTTCGACTTGTGTTTTGTTAACATATTCACGACCGGCAAATTTTTCGATTTTCTAACACTCATTGCTGGTGAAAGTGCAGAAAATCTTGAGCTAATTGCCGCAAATTTCTGGCGTTAAAATAGGGACAAAGATTAGAAAATTTGTTTTGAGATATTAATCTTGTAACGATCCATTGCTTGAAAGTTATTACATTTGAGAAGATATGAAGTTACGGTAGCGGTAACCAGGAGTAGAATTTGCAAAAACGTGAATTCACACCAGAACCAGATTTCTTGTTTCTACATGACATAGGTTGACGACCGGAAACGAGTTTTTTCGTGCTACATCTCTAATTTTTGCAACGTAGCATTACACAAGGCAACTGTTTTGCCAAATATCATACACAAAAAAATGTTAGAGTTACTTATGTCTAAACAAAAACAGGTTCATTCAAATGTATATTAGTTTAAAAAAATGATTGCAGTTTTGTTACGCGTCTTCAAAAATAATTGTATATGTCTAAAATCATTCGCGGTAGACAATCTCAGCAAAACGTTAGCGGTCGCGAATATGTTAAGACTATTCCCATAATTCTGCGAGTACTGGAAATTATGCATCTTTTCTGATGTTCATCCTGTATATTTTAGAAAATACATTGGTATACGTACCTGGTGTAAGTAATCGCATCTGCCACCGTTTTGACACTTTCGACCGATGCAGTAGGGAACATTACACAGCGAGCCTTCGTAGCCGGCGTGGCATGTGCAAGTGAAGTTATCACCAGTCTGAGGATTGACGACGTCCGAGCAAACGCCGTTGATGCAGGGTTCGTTCTCGCAGGTGATCAAACGGAAATTCTGGCACAATTCCCCGGTGAACTGATCGGGACATTCGCAGCGGAAATAACCGGGAAGATTTATGCACACTCCGTCGTGCTGACAGGGACTGAGAGTTACGCACTCGTTTATATCGCTGTCACATCTAAAGTAAAGATAACAGTGATAAGCAAGCACGATATTACGAGATTGATCGCGATCGTTTACCGATTCCAGTATGAAAAGAAAATTCTTTAATGATTTAGCCACACTCATACCAATCTACATTATGTAAATGAACTTCGACTACTCATATTATAAAGAACAATATCAATAAATGAAAATGAAGACGAAAATGCCTAGCGCAATGCGAAACATTAATGCTTCATGACTTTTAAACCAATATTCACTGGCAAGAAGTTTAAAGTCCTGGGTGTACAGAACAACGACCTTACCAATATGTGTCAAGATCAAGGTCAAACAATGGTTACTCTTTTTGTAAATAAGTACGAAAATTCTCCGTTCCCGGACAAATTTTTGAGAATATCCGGAAAACGAAGTCTCATCCAAAAACTCATCGAAATCGGCGAGGAGTCAGTGTTGTAGATAATTACCGCGTTTTTCGATCTTCTTGATCTCACATGTACGTACCGCGATAACAATTACAAGTGTATTACATTAATAGACACGTTTCTTAGCATTATTCAATTTGGTGAAACTGAGGAAGAAAAATTACAACTTAACACTAGGTTTATGGGAAAGTTTAACGCACATTGAATTTTATAAACACTATTTGGTAAATGTTTACGTCGATTTTGATTGATACAATTATACCAGTATGAACGTCAATTATCTATTTTTAAACCTCTAACTTCCAAAATCCGAATCAACGAACATACATTTTTTTAAGAGCAATAGAACCGTACAGTAAATATCCGTAGTGTTAATTACGGCTTGCACGAATTAATAGAATTCATCGATCCTCAGACAGCAAGTTAAGCAAAAGAATATTCCGTCCACACAGAACTTTTCGGTTGGGAGTATTCAGCGCTCAAAGGGTTAATTCTTTTTCTTACTTTAGTTTTATGGTTGCATCAACCGACTAGGTATTGGCGACTGCATTGATTACAACAAGTACACGTAATCGTACTGAGGAACGAAAGAAGTAGTTCAAATAATTAAAATAACGATTTAAGCAATTGAATCTATGGATTTCACAATAGCACAAGCCAAACAATCAACATTTCGAGAAAATGAATCTTTCTTTTCATCTTCGTTTATTCATTCATTATCTGTTTTGTTGATTTTTGTTGAAAACATTGAACATACATACATTTCGTTATGCGTACCTTTTTAATACTATTAAATTGGTCTGAGTTAACTGAAAACAATTACATCAGTAACTCATATCGGTAATGGTAAAAAGTGGACCTGTGCTTTTTGTAATTCACGACTTCAATTGAAATTGTTTTAGATTGGATTAAATCGAAGCTAAATAAATGTAAAACTAAATAGAAGGAATTTGAATTAAACTAAAAATAAGTAAACCACTTTTATATGTGTTTGAGGAATGCAACATGTTTGGTTATGAATTCACTGTTCAATTTCTATTGTTGCTTTAAGCTCTTACTCCATCTTAAAATGTAGAAACAATAATTTTTTGGCACGGAATATTATAATATCGACAGTTATATAAGAAATTCTGGAAAAGTCTCCTTGTCAGCAAACTTCTATGTAATCATCATTACAATCGCTAAAATCGGCTTGGTACATTAAAATAGTATCAATAAAATCTAAATACAACAATATCTGAATATGAATCTCATTTTCATTAGCCTATAAAATTTGACTGTAGATATTACCAAAGCTATATTCTTATTTTGTTTAATTTTTATCACTTTCGCAAAAGAATCGCATTTTTGTTTACTTCTGGTTTATAGTCAATTCTAGTTAAAAATAGTAGTAAATTCACGTACTCGAAAGCATCATGAAACGTTTCAGTAGAAAAGTAAGTTTCATTTCTGGTACAATACGAAGGATGTCATCCTATATGGATATATAGGTATATTCTTCGAAATTTTAATACCTATAAGCTATAATCTCGAAAAAGGTGCCGAAAATTGTTAATGAATCACACAGCAGATCAAAAAAAAATTTCTTCTAACGTTCGTGAAAATAGATAGTTAAATATTTAGGATGACGAAAAACCGAGTTTACTGAAAAAACAAACTGTACTTTCAATGTAGTTTTCTAAATTAAACTGAAAATCTATTATTATTGTCTAGGTAATATTTCATTAGGTTTACTAAATCTTGTTGTTTATTCTTCGAAATATCTACTCGAATCAGTCGAGACCAGTTGGCCGTTACCCATTTAAGGGTGACGGAGCCCATTGGAAATTTTACGTGTCAGCCTAATTCGCGTGATATGGCAGTTGACGTGACATATCTATATGTACAGGTAGAAATCCTGTTATGTGCTATATGGATATCAGCGTCTATTACATGAACCATTAAATAGTAGTGGAAAGGAGAATTAGTGGGCTCTCATTATCTGAATTGGATCTAATTATCCGAACTGTCTTGTATCTGAACACGTTAGCTACCAATGTCATATATATTTGAGTGGATCAAAATAATGAATGGTGTGACTAAATATTATTTTTGAATTCTCGAAAAAGAAAGCTTTTGCGAAATGGTCTTGAATTAATTATATATTAACACTATAATGTTATTAATAGTATTAATTATTGGTTTTAGTAATTGTGATATTAGCATTTAATTAATTCAAAAACATTTCGCAAAAGTTTTTTTCTTCGAAAACTTATAAATATAAGTTAAACCACTATTATTTTGAGTCATTCATTTGTGACGACCACACTTTTGTATTTTATGTAAGGGAAGTAACGTTAATATTTTACATATAGTGATTTAGGATCAAAATATGTACGTGTCATATTTAAGAATTCGATGGCTGTTTTAAGATATAATTTCTCAGTATTTTATTTGGAGGATACGTTGAATTTAATAGAATACTGCAGACGTAAAAATTGTGACCAAATAAATAATGGCAGTGTAACTATTAACCCGTAACGGAGCAATGCTGCCACATAAGCGGCATGGCACTTTTACTTACTGGGTCCATTGCCACATATATGACGTCAAAAATAATTATATCATTTTTATTACTGTTATTGTCGTAATATTTATAATTAACACGTGAAGTATTGTGCTAGGTCACTTCCTTGAATTTGTTTCTGCTTGTTATCAATGTTACGGTATTTTTTCGCGGTAAATGAACTTGAAATACTTCCGGTCCATTAAGGGTTAAAAGACTTGGATAAATAAGGATCTACCACATATACAAAAATAAATAACCCTAAAAATGGTAAATAATTTACAAAACTTTTACTTTTTCTGCAAAACTATATAGTCTTTTTAAATGATGTCATAACGTTTTTAAATATAAAGATATCCACGTATAAAGGCTATTTTTCTAAATATTATGATACTAATAAGTAATAAGTAATGACTGCAGATTTTGATGCGTTTATAGCAGACGGCATCGAATAAAGTTTCGCAAAATAAAAATCTTACGAGTACTGAACGGAGATGTTATACTCTTTTTCACCTCGTAAAAACGTTAGTGGAGATTTTATCTTTACATTCTGTATTTATAAATTAGTCTTTAAAAATCTGCATAAATGTTCGCAGTCTAATAATTTTGGACCTTTAAACATCTGTAGACCATTTTATATTTGAACTTAAGTAACTAAACAGTCTTTATTTTATAAACTATTTTATAAACTAATAGCATTTTCTAGGCTTATGTATCGTATTGTTTTGCATGCTTTAACACTAGAACTACCGTACCAGTCAAAATGACTGATTTCGATTCTTTGTTTTGCAATTATTGATATCTTAAAAGCATTCAATATTTTAAATGATCTTGAAAATAAATAGTTCTATTTGAATATTATAATAAATGTCTGACGAAACTGAAAATAATCTGTTGTTACAATTTTTATATGGATTACATATTAATCGTATTAAATGCTCGGTAGTTTTAGTGTTAACGTATTCCTTTTTGTTAATTCCTGTCATTAGAATCTGACCATGCGTTATGAAACTCAAATCTTTCAAATGTTCAAATAAAAATAATATTCACTTTTTTTTACCAGTCTCCAATTCACTTTACCGAGAATATTTCGAAAAAATGAAAATATGTGCGACTTTTACGTAAAAAGTGTACTTAAAATGTGTACTTACAGCCATCCTTGCCATCCACTATTACACACGCATGTGTAATTGGCTATGCCATCAATGCAGGTCGCCCCGTTTTCACATTTATTATTGATGCATTCGTTAATGTTGAAGGAACAATCGTCTTCCGTGTAACCGGCGCGGCACTCGCAAATGTAACTGTTTGCTTTATCAAGGCAGCGTCCATCGTTTTTACAATCTGTATCAAAGCAAAGCTGACAACCGATGCTCTCGTGATGCGTTGAATTGTTCTCTCGTAACGCTAAATACTCCAGAGGTGTAAAGTTGGCGTTTTGATAAACTTCTTCGTACGTGAAGTAATGCAACAGCATACTGCCTATTCGCACTTCTCCTAAACATCCCTTGAAAGCTTCTCCTGTGAAATAAAACATTCTCTTATTAAAAAATTAAGCAGTTGATTTAACATGTGGAAATTTATATTTCTGAGTTTTTTCATTTATAATCAACAAGAAATAAGTTCTGATAAAAATATTTTATAGTTATTCTTATGTTAGAAATATTCGAAATGCGTGCCAAAGTTCAAACCATTTATTCTTTGTTTGTAATCGAAGATATTTTTTTTGTGTCGTTTTGTTTCAATCTCTTTGGATTTCTAGTTAAAAATGAAATTTATTCTCTTTAAAATATTTCTACTTTGGACATAATTTATTAAATAAATATCATCCAGTTATACCAGTGAGTTACTTAAGTAATGTTGATTTAAAACATACTTCTGTTTATCATTTTATTTCAATAAACAAGTAGTTTCAGTTTATTCTATACCGTTCGTAAGATACAGTTCTTTCACTTTTGATTAAACACAGCTAGAAAATAATTGCTTTACGTAAAATGCATATTTATCGCAGTTTGACATCTTGTTTATCTTTTTAGTATTATGAAACCAAATGTAGCTGTATTTGCCCACTTTTTGATCTGATCATTTCTAAATGGTTCAAATAAGAAAAAATTATTGTACATACTTGACCCCTACTTTTTATATAGAATCATTCGATTCTAAGTTGTATAAATAGCTACAGAACATCCCGTCTAAACATTAAAAACAAATTACGCCTTTTTAATGTGTTAACCAGGAATAAAAAATTAACTCGTTAAATACTCATTATCAATTTTTATTCAGTTTTCGTTCTTCTATTAATTTACTAAGAAGTTATTGAATTTAATTCTTTTATATTGCTTATTATATCGTTAATTAGATGAAGCTCGCATTTATTAAAATTCAATCCGCTTCGAGTCCACTATACACCTGTAACTATAGCTGGAAGACGACGTGATCTCTAACGGAATGGTACAAAGGTAAGATGTGATTTTTTAGTTTATAGTTTCATAGTTTTAATTGGTTACTTGTAACTGTAATGACGAATAGCAAATTAATGATCGAAAATATCAGGAATCAGAAAATAAAATCAACAGAAAACTGGCCGAGGAACAGTGGAAACTAATCAATCAGTCGAATTCCTCAGCTTAACCATCAAGTAATGTCACTTAGCAGTGGGTCCACCCAAATTTTCATAGCGGGAGCACGACTAGATCAAGAGGTTATCCAAAACATTCAGATTCTCGCGGTTCCTCCAGAGCAAGCAAAAATTATTAAAATCATTTGCAACGGTTACCTGACATCACATTATGAGGCGGTGAAACGGTGGTCAGCGCTCGTTCATTGAAGTCTATCGAATTGTCTTGTATCCCGCTCCTGTTCTCTAATATTTGTTTACTGGATCCGATGGTGACGTAACTGTGCCGATCGGACAAGCTGGAACCAAGGCCGCCCAGCGTAACCATTCCGGTCACCAGTAACTCGTACCACAGAGCGAAATTAAAATTCGGGCTGACGTGCGACGCAGTCTCCTCGTTGGAATTCGCGTACCCGCATTCCATCGAATTGTTGTTCAATCTCAACACTATGGACGTCCAATCTCCATCAGCTTCGACCTTGCCGAAGCTCAGTGTTCCTTGATTCTGCAGGTCGAGCCGCCAAGACACGGTGATCTTGTCTTTGTAAACGGAGATGGTGAAGTGTTGATCGCCGACTCTGGGCGCGATGTGCATCAGGGTACCGCCGGTGTTCGACCGATACGTGATTTGAACGGTATCGATCGTGGAGTCGGTCACATTCTTCTCTTCCACTTGATTGTAAATGTACGTGAAGGACGTGGTCACTCCGTCGAAAGTAGCGTTCGCGATGCACTCGTAGCCGTCGTCGAGGTTTTGACACTTGGACCCGGCTGGGCAGTCTTGCAGCTGACAAAATTCCATCTCCTGGCAGGTCTTGCCCGTGTATCCCCTTGGACACTGGCACCAGAAGTCGTTCCACGTGACGTGGCAGGTGCCGTTGTGGTTGCACGGATTGCTTACGCAGACGTTGTCGGAGACTACGCCCTTCAGGACCTTATCGTTGTCGAAGGACACGTTGCCGAATTGTATCGGAGTGGGAATATCATTTGCCTGAAGAATGATAGGGGGGAAGGTTATTTTAAGTTGCTACTATAGTGGAGAAGATGTATATATATATATAGAGAAGATGCATATATATTGCGGATGATTAAGGAGAAGAAAATATTATAACAATGAATGAATTGTTTTATTAACTATTTAAATCTTTTTCTTTAAACATTTATGTAAGAAAAAGTTTAATTAATATTGGAATGTATTTAGTAGTATCTGTGTATATGAAGGATTTACTTGAATATTGAAAGTACTGGGAGTAAAGATAGAAAAGAATTTGTAGACTTTATATACATTTTTTCTGGGAAGAATCATATGCCAGCAGAATTCATAGTTCATTTGCTTTTTCTGAAAACTAACAAAATATTGTTTGCCGTCAACGAAAATTCTCTCACTTAATTATCGGCCAGTTAAGTGTTAAACACAGTATTAAAAAGCACGACGCAGTTGAAAAATGCCTTGGCAGACAGGGAGCCAAGGTCACTTAAAGAAAAGCCTGTAGAGGGAAGGGTCTATTTTTAGGTATAACACGTATTCTTAGCGTGGGTGAAAAGGTCAGTTATAGTTCAGCAGTAATCGAAAAGTCAAAGTAGTATTTAGCGGTTGTCAATCGATTCGATTTCGTTGTCGTCCTTTAGTTGCAATCGCGGATAGTTTCAAACAAGGGAACCTTTCCAACCCGCACACGCCGATTTTGATGAAACTTATAACATCGACTTTGAACGAGTGAAAACACTCTCCAAAGTTGAAGGTTGAAAGTATATTTTCTACAATATCTCTGAAACTAGTGGGTGTAGGAAAGAAATATTTTTAAATTGTTCGCCTCGAAATGAACAATTTAATTCAATTCTTTTCTACGGCCCTAGTTACAGAAATATTGTAAAAAATATACTTTCAACCCTTAAATTTAACCGGTGTTTTCATCCGTTCAAAATAGACGTTGACCGATAACAAAAAATACGTGTCAAATATTTTCTTGAGAACTGTCTCTTACAAGTTTCATCAAAATCGGTATATACTGGGTGAAACGGTTCCCCTGTAGGACCTTGTATATACGTAGCTAATAATCATATTTTATTATACTCAATCGTATCTCTATACTATTTTCGAAAAAAAAACACACAAACACACTCTTACCTTGAGAGGGAAGAATTCGACGACCATAGTTTCAATTCCATTCGATATCTGAACATCCTGGATGATTCCTTTGAAGTTGACTTGCGGTGCCTGCGGGACTTCTATCTGACGATTGTCGACTTGGCGTATGTATCTGGATGCTTGTGGCAACCCGCCCAGATATAAAACGGTGACGTTCAATTGACCGGAAGCGCTGATGGTTTTCCGAAAATATTCGGTCCCGTTGATCTTCACTTGGACCAACGTCACGTTCCTGATCACTTGTATCAGGTGATTGTTTCCGTCGTTTAGCTTCACGCCACCCACCGTGTAAGCTTCCGTGCCGTTGAATTGGATCCTAACGAGCAATTCGCCGCCCTCCAATTGAGCAGCTATGTACGTTTTTTCTTGAGGCTTGAAATCGGTCGGCGAGCTGGGCTCCGATCCCAAATAAAATATGTCACCCCTGTCTTGTCTGGTGCGTATGAACATAGAAATGTCAACGATCGATCTGACCGCTCGCCGAGCGATATCGGACACCTTCACCGTCACGTATCCGTTCGCGATTTTCTCGTATCCAAATGTGGCCGCTGTCATGTTATATTGGCAAGTATGGCCGAGATAAGGCCGCTCGCATTTGCAGGAAAAATCGCGCCATCGGTCTGTGCAGTGTCCGCCATTTTTACAAGGATTCGGCGAGCATTGAGCTTCTCGGGGACAACCTGGCTCCACATCTTCCATGTACACCGTTTTCGATGATGTGCCGGAATATACCTGAACAGTCATTTTTTTCATTATTTAATTTTTCATCATTTAGTTTTCCATAATTAGATTTTCCATACCGATTTCACTTTTTATAATTCAATCTTTCATAATGCTTGATTTTTAAACCTCATTCACATTACCAATCAACGGTACTGTCGGATCAAGACAAGTCACAACTGGTCATGGTCGTTGCCAATGTAATAACATGTCCTATGAAATCATTCACAGTTGATGGTACGGTCAAGTCGAATAAAAATTTATTGATCGTCGAGACAGTTTGCCTAGATCAAAGACCACGGCACTCCTGATTGGATTTGTTTTGATGGGTAACTGTGAACGGCTGATGGTCAAACAGGATCATGGATGACGAGCAATTAACAGAATTTGTTCAAGAAAACAGTGAACAGTGAACAACTGAACGATTTTAGTCACAGAAAATATAACTCATCGTACAAAATGAAAATATGAACGGAGATCTGAACTTACTGAACTCTTTACGATTGATGTTCATAAATGTATAAATAAAAACTTTAGCAAATTGCCCATTAAAACATTAATATAAAACACGTCAAAATAATTGACTAGTGCATAAGAATAAACTAACCTGACTCTAACTAGTGACAACATACCGTCTATTGTATGATTATGATGTGTTTCTCTTAATTTTTAGTAACATAGACTGAACAGACAGAAATAAAATACATTTTATAATTGATAGGGTCTGATTGTTTCCAATCGTTGTATACGAATGCTTAGATAAAATCCTTCATCATGACTAATATGACTATATTGTTGATCATTAGTGTAAATCAATCTTCACAGTGAAATACGTAATGTAGAATTTGGTGCGCATCGATGATTTAGAAATTCTAAAAAGATCCCAATATTTCTGGAAAACATACATATATTAATTGCGGAAAACTGTAAATTTTTTTGTATTAAATACAAATTTCAAATACTATTTTTGAAGTGAATGAAGCATTTATCGCAAACAAATTTTTTAGTAATTTTTCAGTTTAATTTGAAGATGGAGGGTCAAGTCAATAATATTTACATAACTAAATGTCCAATAGAGCATACTTAGAATATTATGTAATTTTACATTTCATGTAGACTTTAGACATACTATGACAAAAGGGTGTCTATCTTCAATATATCGGCTTGAAAAATTTAGAAAGGAAAAATCAATAAGTTTAACAATAAAAGATGTAATTATACTTAGTTTGTTGTGAAAAACAAAATACTAATTCTCGAGACTGAAATACCGTGTGAAGATCGACAGTTTCGTAAAGAATCAAATGGATATTGACAATTTCAACAGGTATAAATCGACAGTTTGTTATCAGGATATCGACAGCTTCGTGGACTGTCAAATTATGGTATTGATTTAATATCAGTTCAAGAACTACATATCAAAAATTGATACGAAATACCCGCTTAAGATTTTAATACTTTTCGATATCTTTTATAGAGTACTTCGTCGTTGAATTATCTGAATGTCATCTTGTCACTATTCATAGTAGAGTTTTCATTTTTAAGCGAAACAGAATATGCCATCAATTTTCCTATCACATTGTAAGATTATCTCCGATTGGACGAGTTATTTCAGTAAATGTAAAATCGACTGTTTATTAGAAAGGTTGTGTAAGGCTATTTTTTTCTATCGATATATTTAAGGATTTGCATTTTAATCGACAACAAAATACTAACAAAGTCTATTGAGATTCTACACGTTTTTATGGATTAAAATATAAATAAGCGCACTACTTGTATATGAATAGCATTTCTAAGAATTAACTATTTATATTATTAGGTTGAGGAATAAATTATTGCCGTTTATTTTAAACTTTAAAATTTCCGTCTAAAAAGAGAATGTTTTGGCAATTATTTATGTCATTTGAAAATAAAATTTTTCCTCTACATGCTAGTGTTGCTGGATTTTGGAGTTGGTTTAATTCTTGTTTTATTTTCAGTCATTGAAATGGAATATCAAGTTGAAAACAATAAGAATTTTGGAAAAAATGAACGTTCGATACACATATATGTATATGAGATGATACCAATAAGTCACAGTTACAATATTGACAAGCAATATAGTTCTGTTGTATTTTTCTTGTTGGTTTGGTGTATTTTATATTGTTATGATGGATTAAAACGGCAATTTAGATTTAGATGTAGGTGTAATAGTGGAGAATCTAAAGAACGTTAAGATTTAAGACTATTGTAATTTAAGTCCCACACTGTGGCCTAACCGCTAGAATTAATTAATAAAGAAAAAGTAATAACACTAATTGTCTAAATAATGTCTAATAAATAAAATATAATAATAAACTGTCAAATATCACATACCCATTCACCGTTAATAACGACGTCCTCGGTACACCCCACGAAGAAAGATGGACCATGGGTCAATCGGCGTAGGTAGTTAGTAGTACCGCCGACGTAGGTCATCGGGAAAGAAGTGTGATTCGAATTAGACCCCTCGTTCAAGCTAATAGGGTAAATAGTCTGCTCCTCGTTCGCCGAGAGAACCAAGTGCGTGGTGTTGATGGCAACGAACACTTTTTGCCATGTGGAATCATTCAGATCACTACCGATGAACACCCCTTCCCACTTGTTCAAGAGGCTCGAGTGCAGATTCAGTTTCCCGTTGACCAGTTCGAGGATATAAAACGTCAAGCCTTTCCCGATAGCGAGCAACCCGTTCGGCAGGGTTGTACGGAAACGAAACTGTATGTCGTAGCCCTCGTCCCGGGTCGTGTTAACCAGGACGTACGAACTGCCGCTCAAGGACATTGTTGTTACCTACAAGAATGATAGAAAATTATCCTACTGAACTGGTCGAGGAGTTGTCTCAACCGTTTGAGTGTCGCGGGTCTTTGCAATGAACCGGGCGAAAAGTGCCAAGCGACGCGATCACGTTCCATTCGTTTCAGCTCAGAAACTGAATTACGCTTTTCTATTTTTCATTTTATTTTTAATTTCTAATTCTAATCTAAATAATGTAACAGTAAATAATCTATTTTATTTTTCTAATTTCTAAGTTCTCAGATAATAGCAATAAAAATAAATCATTAGAAGGGAAACAAATAAGTAAACTTAATTTGATTCTACGAACCTTCTCCTGTGCATTTTGTGCAAGAACAAGGAGTGCCGTTAAAATAAACAGTATCTCTGATCATTGTGTGATAAGTTGATCAATTTATACGATGTAAAATGATATTGTGACTTTTAAAACGATAAGATATTTCATTTATACAGGACGTTTCGTATAATACAATTTTGTGAATTTAATTTTCGTTTCTGGGCTCATTTATTATATTTTGCCAAACGTATGGCACGTTTTCATAAATTAATTTTGTTATTGAAATTAATTCGGTTAATTGGCTAAACAATTGACACAATTACAATTACGATTAACGTTTTTTCCTTTGCAATTTTCGTTCCTGTTAGTTATTCTATAAGAAAGTAATTTGAGTTTATTTAGAAATCAAGTTTAATTTTCTAATTCTTTTAGTTTTCTTTAAATACCTTTTAACCATTTCTGCCGGAACTACCCTAAACCTTCAATTTTTAAAATAACAAAATTACATAAATCAGGTAACTACTATCATCGTTTTTTTAAATGACACAGAGACTAAAAACGAAATGTTCTGCATAAAAAGAAATTCCGATGGGCGCAACGAACTTACGTAATCGCAAATTTCTCCATGGTAGCCGTTCGGGCAAGTACAATTGAATTTATGTATTGTCTCGTCGACGAGATACGGCCAACACGTTCCGCCGTTTTGGCAGGCATTTCCTTGACAACCGATGAGCTCCACCGAACAATTTTTTCCGCCATACTCAGGCTCGCATGTGCACGTGTAATCGGCTCTGCCATCGGCGCACACACCGTGCTCGCACGGCGTGTACCTTTTGCATTCGTCGATGTCGTGCTGACAATGATCTCCCTCGTAACCCTCGTCGCATTCGCAGGTGTAGCCGCCGATACGATCCACACAGGTTCCGGCCTGGCAAGGATTGCTATCGCACTCGTTGATATTTACCTCGCAATTTTTGCCCGTCACGCCTTGGACGCAGAGGCACTCGTACCTGAAAGAAGAATTAAGGACAATCAGCTTTCATTGCTAAAATTACGCGATATTTTTTACACGCCACCCACATATATCATTTGGTATAGATTTAACTCCTTGCGGTCGAATGCCGCCGTAATAGGGACTTCGAGCTTTCATATTCGAAATCGAAACCTGTAAATAAACCAGTTCATTATTCAAATAACAAGAGATAGATATGTGGTTTTCTTCGTTTCAAATATTTAAGACTTCGGTGCATTCTTAGAATTTTATAGGAAGAGTTTCTAGAAATTTGGAAAACGCTAGTCCCAAATCGCTAGTTTAAAAGATTAAAAATTACAACAGGCTACCCTATAACGTGGATAAGAAATTCCGCGTTATTCTGATTTTACGTTTACAAATTTGTTACACTAAGCATTGAATGTGTTAACAATATTAATTTAATAGCGAAGTTTTAAGTTAAACAATATACTTAAGTATATGTGTATATACAGGTATTTCATATTATTGGTATAATATAAAGGAAGATACTGGACAATTTTGTTGTATTTTGTATAAACACTTAGAAATAAGTATCTAACTGAAGCCTTTTTAGAAGGCAGACAGCGAGAGAAATATTTTTTGCGGAACAATTATTCTCGTGTCATTACATACAAAGGAAATATTTTACGTGCCAATTTTGAATGAATCACTCTGTATCTTCGGTTAAGATAAATTCATAAATAATATTTGTATTAATACAAACATGTCAAAAATGAAGATTTCATTGCAATAAGTTACTATTGTCTAGAAAAGCAGTTCATTTATTAAATCATTTTTATTTTACTTTTTTAATAAAAATGTTTTAAATTTTCGATTAACTAAATTCTGATTGTTTCCAGGGACAAAGGAGAAACTTTATTAAACTTTCAACAGGAAGCATTAGTTACGCAACGTACTACTGTGTTATTCTACACAATCGTCATTTTCTGTTCTTATAATGCAGTAATACATCGCTGCGGACTGTAATTTGTTTTAATAGCCAGCAATCATTGGAATCGATAATACTTTAACGTGTATGCTACCAGTTTCACATGTTTCTGACATACGCGACTTTATATTTCTCGCGGAAGAGAACAAAATAATTGTATGCGCGTTCTTTTTATAAGTAGCAAAAATCAGCAAATCATCAAAGAAATCGATAATTCTTTTTTGTTACGGTCCAAGTGTTTTATAAGAGAGATACATTGCATTTAATGAAATATTTGGTAATTATCTGTAAAAAAGGGATGCCCCGCCAATTTCAATGACTTTGAAATATGTCATCAACGAGATAAAACAAGGACATAAACTTTCTCTTTACACACATAACGGTCGTTTTACCTTAGTTTTAGAGTTTAATTGGAATCAGTGATTTTAATACGACCACCGTAATGTGATGAACAACCCACTATTAATAAATTTAGTAACTGTAAATTGTAATTACTATCTTATTTATTTTCAAATCCAAATGCAACTCGAATTTCACCATAATGTAACATGAATCTAATAAAAATCCAAGAAATACGTAGATAGCCTGAATACTTAGTATCGAAACTATTCTCGCGGTGCTAACACGTACAGGAAAATGTTCAGAATAACGATCTTGACAATACGTTCCAAGATCAACATATTCGAAGAAGTTTGTACATACCCCTTCCCAGATAATTATCAAACATTTCAACCATAAAAAACAACGATTGCATCAAATAGAACCACTGAACGCGTGAAATTTCACAATACCTACCCGCTCGCATTAGCATAGTTGAAATCTTGATTAAAGATGGAAGGTAGTGTCAGCGTGTCGTTCTTGTACAATTCTTTCCTCGAGCGTTCGAGGCAAGTGCCATTGTACTGGCAAGGCGTGCTGTCGCACTCGCTGATATCTAGCTCGCAGTTCTTGCCTGTGTAGCCGGGGTAGCATCGGCACTTGTAGTTCTTGATGTCATCTATGCAGGTAGCGCCGTTCACGCACGGCTCCGAGCGGCAGTCGTCGATGTTCTTCTCGCAGCGTGGCCCTTCGAAGCCGGTGTCACTGCAGTCGCATGTGTAGTTGTTTATGCCGTCGATGCAACGGCCGTGGTTCAAGCAAGGCAACGGCTCGCAGTCGTCGATGTTGATCTCGCAGTTCAGTCCGCGGAACCCGGGCGAACAGATGCACGTGTAGCTGGCGATCTCGTCGACGCAGGTTGCACCGTTCAGGCAGGGATTGCTCTCGCACTCGTTCACGTCCACGTCGCAGGTTTTGCCGGTGTAGCCGGGCGGGCATTGACAGTCGAACGTGTTGATGCCGTCGATGCAAGTAGCGTTATTCTTGCACGGGCCGCACAGGCACTCGTCGATGTTGATGTCGCAATGGTCTCCGGAGAACCCAGGTCTGCAGAAGCAGTTGTAGCTACCGTTCTTGTTCACGCAGATCCCATCATTGCACAGCGCTCTACCTTTCACCTCGCACTCGTCTACGTCTTCATCGCAGAACTGACCTGCCAGATTAGGAGAACTTGAGTGATCGGTGACGTACTGTGGGATACTATGGAGAATAATTTAAAAATACAACGGAACTTCTTTTATACAGAGGGTCCCAGAACAAATTGAAAATATTTTGAGGGTGGCTTTCGCACATCAAAACAATAAGAAAAATTCAGATAAACATGTTTTATTTAACCTTGTTTCCGAGATAAACGGATTAAAGTTTATTATTCAAAATTTATATGTAGTTTCAGTGTTAACATGTTAACTGCCACGAAAATTTGGAGCATTTCGTATAACATTACTAATTCTTTCATAACAAAGGCGAATGGTAGTTGAATTAATTACATTGATGATTTGGTGTCGCAGTTCTTAAGTTACATTATCATTTAGTTATTTATGTTACAAAATATTTTAATTTGAAATCAGTTCCTTTTGGAAGGTCGGCGATTACCGTGGCGGTCCACCCGTTAACCCCTTCAGACTTGATTTTTATACAAAATTATGTGCAGTTACCTGACAATGAAAGATTGATATTCAGTATACCGCCAGTAATAACATCTATTTTGAATAAACTGTGGTAGTATACTACCTTTCTGATAAAAATAGGCTTAAAGCAAGGGTATGTCTGTTATAATTTTAATATCTTATCATATATTGAAGTGATAAAACAGTTACTCGAGTAACTCGAGTCACCTCGACTTTCGACGCATGGTCATTATTGGCGCGTAGCAATAATAAATAACGGAAGCGAGACCGAATGCGGTGAAGTGGGACGTACGATAGAAAACAAGATTCTCTGCAGTTCCATCTTACTCCGTTGCATTCGGTTTCGCTTCCGTCTCTTGATATTTTTGCGCGGTAATAATGACCATGCGTTGAAGGTCGGGGTGGTTCGAGCATCGTGGGTGGGAGAGTCTCCTTGCCCCTGTGCACTTCTAGCTTGGTGGCCGATGGAACTAACGTGACAGGCGTATATTTCCAAAGGCACAGCAGTACGCCTTTTCGGTGAAGGTGGATGAGTCAATGTATTTGTCGACGCGTTACAACAGCGCATAAATTATGTTTAGCCACGGTTAATAAGTATTACTAACTGTGAGTAGCAACATGCAAAGTAATAATGGTTAAAATAAATTAAGGTTAAGTAATAGAAAGATATAAAAAGAAGCATTATTACGGAGTCAAGTGTAAGATAAAATAAAAGTGTATAGTGAATTAGGATAAAAGAAAAGAAGAGAAAAAAAAGAGAAAAGTATGTCCCGGATAAAACGCACTTTCAGGTTGCTCTCAGTTAGAATAGTGTAGCTAATACATGATTTTGCCTTCGATACAGTTGATCCCGAGACACAAGTGTCTCGGACCTTCGCCGTTACGAATATAAATAAGTAAATAGATCGCGATATAAAATTACAAGTGTAAATAAAATGAAAATATCATTGTAAATAGGATAAAACGATATAGAGGTAGAGTAGTAGTGTAGAAATATGTAAAAGAGAAGAAATAGGATAGTACAGTAATAAGAATAAAAGTAAAAGTATAGCGATAAAACGATATATACAAGTTATAAACGAAATATAGACAATCTAATCACAGCGTGAAGACTAGATGATGGGGTGGCAAAAAGATAACAGTATACTGTTTTACCACTTCAATATATAATAATATAATTTAATACATATAATAGGTAGTATAATACATTATAATGTCCGTCAGGTCTGAAAGTGTTAATGATTATTTCAGAGTCCTCACCTTGGAAGCCCTCGCTGCAATTGCACACGAAACCGTGTTCCCCGAGATCGGTGCACGTGCCGTTATTGCAGGGCTTCGTCGCGCAGTGGTCAACGATGCGGGTGCAATTGGGGTCCCTGTATCCCTCGTGGCATTTACACTCGTAACCGGCGATACCGTCGACGCATACTTTACCGTCGGGGCATATCACGTCGATGCAATCGTCCACGTTGATGTCGCACACTTTCCCTTCGAAACCTGGCGGGCACTCGCAGACGAATTCGCGACGCGATCGCGAGAGCAACGTGCAGTTCCCGTTGTTCTGGCAAGGATTCAAGGCGCACGCGTTATACTCCCGTTCGCAGTTCTCGTCCATGTAGTCTTTCGTGCAGTTGCACGTATACCCGTTGATCTGGTCGATGCACGTGCCACCGTTTTGACAGGGTTGCGATAAACATTCGTCGACGTTGATCTGGCAGTTCTTTCCTATTCGTGGAAGCATTCTATTAGAAGCTGTCGTAAAATGTTTATGGAAATGTGTATTGTCACTTAGCGAGAAACTGACAAACACTTTTAAGGATGCCTACTGTGGCTTGTCAGAGTTTTAACTCCTTGTTCTATAATTTCTTTCACAGCTGTGCTTGATAAAAGCTAATTATTTATAAATTAAATATCATTATTTCATAAGACGGCAATAATTTATTAAATAAGAATATGGTACTTATTCTATTTGCCATATTTATTTCAGACATTAATGATTGACAATAGAAAAGAAACATTTAATTTATATTTAAGAAAAGTAAATAACAGTCGGATTTGTCGTATTTAGTTTAAAATTTTCATCACGAGTCTGATACGATGTCATAGGGCAAGGGGTTAACTCTTGTGTTAGCAATCGAGTGTCCGAGTAAGAATTTTTATATGTTCTTGCTATATTCTCGTGAAAATTTAACAAAATTCCTGGGAATCACTTTTTAAGCTCTTTCACGTTAATTTGCGTTGTGTAGGTAACAAAATTATGCGAAAGATATTGTAATATTACAGTTTGAACAAATCCAAATATTTTCTAATACGAGGATTGACTGTACATAACTGAAATGATAAGTGAATTGTAGAATCTTAAATGTTGATATTTATAAATTAATTTAAATGATTCTTGTATTACTTTTACCAGCATTTTCAGTTGTATACTAAAATGGAACAAAATGTTACAAAACAATGAACAAAATGTTATAAAGGGAAACGATTTTCGCGAAATATAAAATACATGTATGTTAGAATGCTAAATGAAACATCGATGGAAAGAGATAAAATATTAGTGTACATGCAAATGTACTCAGTTGTTTAGCTTATCTGGTAAGTAGCTCGAATAAATATAGCATTTAGCATTAGTGTATGTATAAATAAGCACAACAGGAGTTTTAATAATTTCAGTAAATTAAAAGAAATCTAGCAGTAATATCGTAACTAAATTTAAGAAAAATGACAAATTATTCAAGAATATAAAAATGAACATAAAAGAATGTAAAAATGAAATATTATTGAAGTTATATAAAATTTATATTCTGATTGCTTATAACCGAATGCTGGGTTACTCTGACTCGTAATAGAATACTTCTTGTAGACAAGTGTCGAAACCAAATTGTGTACAACATTTTATGTATATTTTTAACTATTTATGTTTCACTTACAATTCGATATAATTATACATAGATTGCAGTCGAAGAAAAACGCGATATAAGTTATAAGAAAAAAGAAATAGAAGATTAAGTTAATTGTAAGATTGAATAGAAAACAGTGCACCGTTAAAAGGTATATTAAATATATCTATTTGTAAATAAATATACATACGAATAAATAAGTGTCCAATTGACGAGTATATGTATATTTAATTAATACAACTAGGTCAAAATGTTCTTGTATTCATTATGTGAGAATTAATAATTATCAGATGGCTGAAACTAAGTTTCAGTTACTTAATAATTATACAAAAAAATTAAGTAGTTCCACTGAGAAAAAGAAAATTTTTAAGGGCTTATGTTCATTTTTTCCCACAGTATTGATTATAAAATAAAAAACTTAAAACACCAAATACTGAAGTGCGCATATCGAAATTAAAATTAAATTCTCATTTATCGTTTATCGAACGTTCATTGTTTTAATTAATGTAAAAGAAAGTTAAAGTATATGATGCATAGAAGCTACATTAAAATATCTACTGTGTTATAGGTTTTGATCTATTTCAATTATGATTGTCACAAACACAAAATAATATTTCGATCCAAACATTATTCCCATTAATTAAATTCAATTGACAAGCATAGAACAGATTTAATTGAAAACCAATTTTCCTTAATAACTTTTCGTCCTTCACATACATCAGATTCAATTTGAAATCGCTGCAACGTGGCTGGCTCGATACTACAGCGTAAGAGGTTCGATAAATTACGAGGATACAATAGGGTCAACGATGAGATAGCGTGAAAAGCGTACAAGTGTAACAAATCAATGTAACAATGCAACCAAGACAGGATTAGCTGAGTAGGTTCGGCGAAAGCAAAGCTTTGGTGGAAAGTGGCTAAAAATCAGCTGCGGTATCGGATGATTACCGGTGTATCCCGGAAGACATTGACAGTAGTAGCTATTCAGTTGATCGATGCAGATTCCGCCGTTGCGGCAAGGATCGCTGGAACATTCGTCCACATCGATGGAGCATTCAGGGCCTGTCCATCCTGGCTCGCAGGTGCAATAATAGCCGCCGGTCTGCACGGGGGACGAGGATGTCACAAACAAAGCAAGAGGGCCACATAGAGATAGATTCGAATGGGCGAATGCGACACGCTCGATTAACTCCTTCTATTGGAATAACCAATCCAGCTCGTCGTGAGTTCTCTATGCCAAAAGGGCAACGACGAGCTGCATTTGTTAGAAATGGGAAATGCAGCAGTGGGCCTATTTTGCTAGCGAGCGCCATATGTAGGAGTCATTATTTTATAGGGAAACATAATATTTCGTAAGTAACATGTAACCATATTGTCCAATACGTTTAAAAGTAGTATCGTAAGAGCTTATACGAAATGCGAAAGTGATGGAGACAATATTGATCTGACCAAGTATTGAAAATTAGATGCAGAATTTAAGAGCGAAAGAAATAGTATTGACAGCAATAACAGTGATATAATTTCACTTGTTTGAAAATGTGTACGATTATTCGCTACAAACTAAATATTGCTGTTCACTGATAACCAATTATTTGAGCAATAAAAATGTAAGCTTCTATCAGGGATTGGAAAGGTTTTAAAAATAACGATTTAAAATTCTACCATGTATCGGTGTTATGTTCCGACTGAAACACGTATGAAGGACCGAATTAAAGTCATAAAACTATTAATATATCGGTTTGGGTTCCGGTTCTTCAGAACCGATATGATATCGGTTCTATAACTTATTTCTTGCTTTTATATTTCGGTTTCGTATTTCTTTCGGTTCTCCATAACTGTTTCGAGAACTGGAGCTGATAGCGTAACTGTTTCCAATTCGAGACTTCTATGTTACTCACTGCTTTATAGAACTGAACCTTTTAGCTACGGTGGAACTAGCCGCGAAGCTACACCTCTGTGTGGCAAGATATGTCGCAAACTCTGTGTGATAAATGTAGCACTACGATTCGAGGCTGGTAGAATTTTCCACTGTGCAATTACGTTAGATTAGACTACAATGTACACAATTATCAATGGAAAACAAAGAAGACAGCCGGAAGGTATAGTGGTGAACCGTTCAGAGAAGTGGTGTCCACGTAGCCACTACGGTTGCGTACGGCAGCTAAAAGGTTAATAAAAATGGAATTGTCTGGCTGTGCAGCATCGGCTACAAATAAATCACAGTAGAAGGAGTTACTTTGGTCGCGCGCGTGCATGCAAACCCGTCGCGCAAAAGGTGTCACACTCACATAGTCCAGGCAAGCGGAAGCTTGTTTGCAAGGTAGATCGTGACAAGTGATCGGGTCTTTGCATTGAGGCCCGGACCAGAATCTCGGGCATTGGCACATGATACCGAAACGCGTCTCGAGACAACTGCCTCCGTTGTAGCAGGCGGTGCACCATTCCGAGGCGGGCGATAGGCATGTCGCTCCTGACGGACGGCGCACGGCACAAAAGAACACGGTTAGGGGGTACACAAAACATTCAAGCGGAAAAATATGTCACAGCGGTGGAACGTGAAGGGAAACGGTGAAGTCGCGTGGACTGTTAGTTACAGACGATCGAGGAAGTGTTCAGCTTGTTTCGTGTTCGGAGTGCGCGCTCCGTGTTTGCTTTTGGAATGAGTTTTCGTATTTACAGTGGCCTGCAAATGATTCTATGTTGATACCTTTTTGGTTGCTTTCTAAGCAACAGAGATAACAAGAAATTTAAATGCGCGTGAAAATTTGTTTTTACAAGGAAGTGTGGTGTCTCAGCCCTGTACGTGTGTTTTACATGTGTAGACGCAATTTTTAGCGAAAAATGGTGTATTCTTGTGAGGATAATATCTAAATGTGTAGAATATGTTTCAATCCTTCGTCTTACGGTTTTTTTTTCTAATCGAGTTTGTAGGATATAATTTAACATTGATAATTCTCCAACGGAAAAAGAAATTGCGTATTTATTGCATTACTTATTGTAGGAGTGAATTTATTATAAATTTTGAATATGTAGTTTTTCGCGTAACTTGCACATCCAAAATATTTGAACTAAACCGAAAAGAAGAATTTGATTTTATAAGATATATGTTTTTAGCCTAATTGACTTGGAAAACATCCGTTTAACTTCATTTTAAATGTATTCCCAAAGTGAAATTATTATTTCTTTCATACTAACACCGATTGTCTTGAAGTCGATATTGTAGCTAACGTCGAAACGAGTTAAATAACTACAATTACATAGATAATACAGATTTGTTATAATAATTTTTACTCATTTTTAATAGCAACGAAAGTAATTTAGATGTTCAATATATATAATTAACTTTATCTATACAATAAAATTTTTGTTACGGGTGATATTGGTTATTAGTGATCTTTAGACGATCGCATTGGTTACTTGATCTTTGCGACTACCAACACGTTAACAACGTCAATAATTACAATTTCCAATTTATTTTTCTCTAACACACAAAAATCTGATCTCTTATATAGCAATTATAAACGAATAAGATGCTAATTATGAATATTTACTTGAAAAGGAAATACGTCGAAGTAATATCTGCTAATTTTTATGAATGTTTAATTGAAAATAGTTATTATATTTATGTAGTTGGTATAAATGACGAACGACATATGTATATATATATATAAAGTAAATGATTACTTTTAAACTATTCGTACATTAACAATTTATTCGTATTTTTAAATCGTTTACCTGTGTGAAACTAATTATCTAAATAAGTGGAAAAGTGTTGGAGATAATTTTAGTGAACATGGAAAATGGGATAAAACCAATGATTTGAATTTTGCAATTTTTGTATGATTATTTGTGCGAAATGAAGGTTAATATTATTATGTAATAAGATTGCCTTCACGGGACTCACTAATGTTGGTTACGTTCTTTAACTTTATTCTTACAAACCAGCGTTAACAATCATTGTTAACGTATTCTCATTGTAAGTAAAATAATGTTCACGTTTCAGCGATTGAAAACTTCTTATACATCAACCAATTTCAAGTATCCAGAATCTTTTGTACACCACTGTCCGTATATAGTGTCTCATCTATTTTAACCACGTTTCCGTTATTTTCGTTGATACAAAAGTGTGTTTCAAATTACGTTTCTATGACTTAAACAAAGGCAAATTTTACAACTAGCAAAACTTTTGGGTAAAAGTCATATTTCTGATTTCAAAATTCTTGTTTCTACTAAAACCATATTTTATTTATATCATATCATAACATAAATCATAAAACAAATTCATCTGTTATTCGTATGTTACAAACAAAAGTATATGGTCTACAAAGAATACAGATAAAAAAGTACAATAATCTTGAAATGTCAAAAACATTATCTTCATCGAAAAATTTCGCTAGTTACAAAATATCCCTCCTCGAATCGTACAAACTCTGCTCGAAATGTTCTGGCACAAACAAGAAAATCACTCGAGATGTTCACAAATGAAACACCCTGTGCAGCAACAACGTCAAACCTCCAACAATCCGCGAAGGTCCATTCAACAATCCTTATTACATTTAATTTTGCAATGATATTCTAATGTCTAAAGTGAAAGCTGTGATACACGTTAGCATCGATATCCGTAACTCGACAAATGCACTTGTCTTCCGCGCTTACCTCTCCAGTCTGGTAGGCAAGTACAGTTATACCCGTCCTTATTGCTGGTGCAAGTGCCGCCGTTGGCGCACGGATTACTGGCGCAGTAATTGATAATGCAGTTCGGTGGATTGCCCATGAAACCAGGGTTGCAAACGCATTGTGGCCCGTGTACGTCTTCCACGCAGATGCTGTTCGCCGGACACGCAGCGTTCTCGCACTGACTCCTGAGATCGCAGTGACGGCCGGCATATCCCGGCGGACAGGTGCAATGATAGGAACCTACGTCGTCCACGCAGTCACCGTGCTTGCACGGGTTCGATAGGCACTCGTTCAGATTCAACTCGCAGTTCTGGCCCTCGAAACCGTTCGGACAATGGCAAATATAACCGCCGTAATTGTCGTAGCACACGCCGTTGTTTAGACAAGGATTCGCCGAGCACTGGTCGATGTCGATCTCGCAGTTGAAACCTTCGTACCTGCAAAAAGAACGATGTTCTTTGAATTCAAGTTAAACATTTGGAAACGAATGTAGGCGTATTGACGACATCAAGCTTTTGTATCTAGAACCGAAAGTTACTTAACGCATTCGCGACCGCTGACGCGAATTCACGTCTTTTCAAATATTTTATTCTTCTGTTCGTTTCCATTTGCGAATTTTTTAACGAAATGTTTGCCATTTCAAACTACAGATCGTTACAAGGGTAACGTTTCGAAACAAATTTCTTAATTTTTGTCCCCGTTTTTTCCTGATTTTCTTCATTTTCACTGGTAGTGAGTATTAGAAAAGCGAATAATTTTCCGATCGCAAGTGTGTTAATTATTCGAACAGTAAAAAATTAATGGGTAGCTTCTTTTTTTTCTGGTATTTAAGAGTTCGATATACAGTGAAACATCAATTACCCGAACCTAGTTTATCCGAATCAGTAAATGCCAGGATAATATGTAAACTCCTAACTGAATCTCTATTATCCGAATTACTGCTAAGCGTACTCTCACTTATGCGAACGTGTATACAATTTATGCATGTGTATGTGTATTCGGAATATGAATACATCCGTATAACTGTGAGAGTTTGAAAACGAAAAAGAAACAAATATAAACGGATATTATCTGAACGCCGCCAAGGATCGAACTCCTTTATTGGAATAAATAAGATCAGGCAGTATGTGGGAATAGTTGGTGAGCATTTATTATCCGAATAGACATGTTTCCTAATATGTTCGGATAAGCGAGGTTCTACTGTACAATTCAGCTTCTTCAGGCTAAGGTTTTGAATATTTTAAAAGATTTTTGCGCGTAAAGAGATAATATCTTCCTGATGGGTCACGAGTACTTTCATGTTTTCACGTTCGAACGACGAGATCGATCGTAAATTAATTCGTGGTTTCACGAGACGTTCACGAGTTAAATTGTACTTGTACTTATATTAATTTATATTCGAATAACAATATACATATGTCTTTATAAGAGGGTTCTAGATCGTATTTATTAGCTTCAATCGTTAAATTATTTTAGTATATTGTATGTAAGTAAGATATGTATACTGAAAATTAAAAATGTTTCTACTTCGTATCCAAGTCACCGGTTAGCAAGGTATTAAATACTAACGATCGCCTCGATGTATGTCATTATTTAGACAGGGAAGAGTTATTATCATCGGAGTGATACATCTTCGTTTGTTCGTTTATACACCATAAAATATTAATCATTTTTTAACTACTATGTAATAATATATAATACAATATGAGTTGACTGGAAACTTTATTTCCATTGATGTGTAGTAGTGATAATAGTAATGGTTGTAATTGTTCCAAGGGTGGGAAAAAGTGAAATGTAATACCTTTCAAACATAATAAACAAACGACCCTGTTGATTTGATAAATTGTGTTTATAATTTTGAACTCGTTGCAAGGAAATATAAAAATACATAGTTACAGAGAGGAAAAGTTTAATCCCTCGACGCCGGATTTCGTATTTCATACAAATCCGTCTTTTATACGAGATATTGATTTATAACTTTATATAAAGATATAGTATTTCAATTATACTACTTTATATAAGCATATAATACTAATAGAATAATAACGCTGAATGCTGCTGGTGGAATCAATTGCCTTTATTCTGGGCAGCATTGTAATTGTATTTCCTGAATACCGAATATACAGCACGTTTCAGAAATACAAGAACAGATTATTCAAACAAAAGATGTTTCTCGATGAAATAATTGTACCTATTATTGGATGCAAAGACTTGAGTGGCAAAAGTAAGTTTGTCTCTACTATTCTTATTACACGTTTTTCATATTTACGTTTTATTAATAATCGTTTAAAATTATTTTAACATTTCCCTTTTGTAGCTTCATTATTATGAAATAAATTGAGTAGTGAATTTAACTTCAATTATAATTTTCTTAATTAACCCCTTGCCCTATAATTTATTTCTTAATTTTGATCGATACAACTACTTTACCGTTAATAATTTACTAGAAAAAGAAAACACTTTCATGCTTATCCAGTGTCTACATTTACTCGAAAGATTAAGGATTGATAATAGAAAAGCAACATTTAATTTATATGTAAAATAAACTAAATAACACTTAGATTTGTAAAAAGTAGTTTAAAATTCTCGTCACGAGTCTGATACGGTATTGTAGGTCAAGGGGTTAATTATAACTAGAACTTTTGCCATGGAGTTTTGATTTTGATCAAATGCGGAAGCTATTCAGGGAATGAAACACAAATCAATCGATACATTGTATTGAAAGAAAAATCTTAATAATTCCCAAATTGTTTTTACTCCCAATAATATAGTTATTTATTATATAACATCAAACCACAGTCATTTAAGTGAAATAATAACCGATTTATCGTTTAGCTAATTAAATGTGTTAAACTGTTACTCAAAATATTACTTGAATAAGATTTTTCTTAAATGATGGCCAATTTATCATTTAGCTACCTAAATACGACAAATTATAATAAAAATCGTTCAATTTTTATATGGGGACATTGTAAACGTATCGCAATTGTATAATAAATATTGGAAACGTACCCTGTTCTATCGCATATACAGGTATAGTTATTGATACCGTCGATGCAAACCCCGCCGTGCCTGCAAGGATTCGAGGAGCACTCGTTGAAATTGGTTTCGCAATTTTTCCCCGTCCATCCAGGCAAGCAGTCGCACTTATATTCGCTGTCGGTGAGCGCCAGGCAAACGCCGTCGTTTCTGCAAGGGCTTTGCTCGCAGAACCGTACGCCCAGCTGCGACTCGCAGAACATCCCAGTGAAACCGGGTTTGCAGGAGCAACTGAAGTCTCCCTTCTGGTCCTCATTACACGTGCCGCCATTTCGACAGGGACTGTTCAAACAGGGCGAACCTAAGGAATTAAAACGCTTTCAAATTTCTGATAACTGGAGAGCTAAAAGTGAGGGTAATTATCTACAAAAGAGGATTCTTCATTGCTTCTGATGACCTGGAAATACATTGTCAAAGACATTATTCTGGACAACTTTTTTTATGCGTATTATCGTTGCATCAGATTAATTTCAGAGATAAACGCAGAAATGTTACCTATTTTGTATACACTATATTTAGCAAGCTGCGTTCAGATTGGTTTTGAGTTAACCTTTTCAGACCTGATGTTTGTACAAAATTAGTAACGTGCAACATCAGTAACGACATTATTTCGAATAAAATAGTGGCAGTATAATACTTTTCTGATAGAAATAAGCTCAAACGAATATACGAGGTGTATATATTTAGAGATTAGTTCACTTAATCCAATTATCACCCACTCTTTATCAATAAATTTAAGCCTTTGGATTCTATAGGCTCCACTACGGTTTCGTTTGTAGTATTAAATATTTTAATGATCAAAATTCAAAAGACTACCCTAAGATCATTATTACGTTTAATAATTCATGCATAAGAAATGTTATATATAACATTCTTCCATTTTTATCAGGAATACTATATAAATGGTTTGGAGTCGCTGGTACATTATAGAATCAGCTGGACTGCTAATAGTTAATAATTCTAAATTGTTTATTCATTATCAAATCCAAATGAAACACAAATTTCACGTTTAACGTAAATATAACTTGAACCTTGGAAATACGTAGCATTGAATACATAACGTTGAATATATTTTTGCGTATATCTCAGAAATTAAGCGACGGTAACATGTACAAAAAAAAGAGTAGTTCAGAATGATGATTTGAACAATATGATTCAAAATCATATCGTCAGAATCGGTGAATTCTCTTTTCTAGATAATTACCAAAATGAATTAGTGACAGAGAACCGTAGAAATAAATGAAAGTTTTGTGCAGAAGCAATTAAATGCTAGTGAGCCCATAATCCAGACACCTATAGCGTAACACCGAGGAAATCATCCATAGGAGAGAGAAACGCAAAAAGATGATGGTGTTTATATTAATACCAAAATTTGTGAATAACAGATAATAGAAAGCACCAGGGGAAAGTCTTTTTCTGCGGGAGATAAAAAATGAAATAAGGGCTACCCCGTTTCCATGATGTTCGCCGTCTCTCAATGATCAATGTCGAATGATTGATGTAGTGAGATCGAGTGTTCCCAGGGAGAATAGCTGTGTGTAATCTCGATTTGCGTGTATATGACTTATAAGAGCGATTTTATCCTATAAACAATTACCCATGCAATGTCTATTCTTAATTATAAATGAAAGTTATCGCACAAGGTGGATCATTTAAGGCTGAAGCCTGAAATGTCTGCGTTGTTCTTAATTATATCGCAAAGTATAAAAGAAAAACAAAGGAACATTTGCACGAAAGGAACGAATGTTGTGATAAAAAGAATGGTAAACAGAAAAATTCTTCTCATCGCAATATTTGCTCCTTTGCGACAAGTATTTCTTTCCTTGGAAGTTTTGTAATATCATTAAAAACATCGGCGATGTCTCAGGCGCCAGTTTCAGATGGCTCACCCTGTATATTGAATTAGAGACATTTGTACAGAATTCCGCAAGCTGATAGAGGAAGAGAATTAAACGAAGAACAATAAAAGTAATCCATCGAGAATAAAAAAAGAATTCATGGCCAAGTAATATTCCACAGGGAATTTAAAGCTTCGATATTTAATTTTTAATTTGTTCACATTATCGCTTTCCATTTGTAGCTGCGCGAGGCGCGCACAATTGAAATGCACTATATCCCATAAAGAAATAATATCGACAAATTAAAGCGAACGAGGCCTTATTGGAAACACGACATCCAATTATAACGAAATTTAATCACATATTAACACCTTGATGGCGGCGCGTTTAATTGAAAATCTGCTCGCTCTCGATAATATGGCCGCGAATTTTAATGTAATGAAATTTTAACGCGTTAATGTATCACTATCAACATGCATACTCCTATTACTAACATTTATGACAGTTTAGTCATTCGTGTACAGTGTAGCTCCCACGTTTATAGCAGCGACCTAAAGTTCAAAAGTACACAGGGGCAAGGGGAATCGGTCGCACGCTCCACCCTAGTCCCTCTAAGGTCTCCATACACGTTGAAACTTGCGGCGATGCAGGCATTGCAACAAACAATGGCTTAAAGCCTTTTTCACTTTTTGTTCGAGTGCATCGTGTATATAAAACGTTGAAACAAGCGATGGATTCGAGCCTTTTCCGCTTTTTGTTTGAATGCAACATTTAGGAAGACTCAGACCCATCGCTTCTAGCGATGTCCGCGTCGCCGCAGTTTCACCGTATGTGGGGGCCTTTAGAAACATAGTAACCGAGACTCCGTGTTTCCGGGATTCCGTAAACACAAAAAGCCGCCGCCGCGTAGAAACTCGACGCCAGTGTTCGTTACTGTTTAACTGAGTAGTTACGGTGCTTGATCACCGTGGTAAGAAGTGAAGGAAGAAAGGAGACTCTTTTCCTTTCACGATATTCGGGCTGCTTCAGTTTTCGACGCGTAGTCATTATTGGTGCGCGGGAAAAACAAAGGACAGAAGCGAGACCAAACGCGACGGAGTGAGATGTAACAGTGAGAACGAAGCCGGTGACTTTATAAGAGCCTATGCACACGAGCGACGCGATCCGGCTGCGGTGCCGCAGCGATTGTTTTCTTTCTTCAGTCTCACAAAAAAAAAATAAGAGAATTTTCAATTGATTGAACGAACGATTTCAACCGCATTATACTGTTAACTATCTTTTGTAACTTTTGAAATAAAGAAATAATAAATACACGATGAACTTATACTTCTACGTTCTTGTTCTAAAATCGCACAGCGTCATCGCTGCGGCGCCGCAAGGAGATCGCGTCGTTCGTGTGCATAGGCCCTAAACTTTGATCTCTATCGTTACGTTTCACTCCGTCGCTTGCTGTCTGGCTTCCGTCCTTTGTTACTGCCGCAGGGCCAATAAGGATCACGTGTCGGAAACCAAAGCGGCCCGAACATCGTAAGTGGAAGAAACCCCTTGCTTTACCGACTTCTTACCGTGGAGGTTAAACGCCATCACTTCTCAGCCGAACAGTATATCTCTCTCTCTGTCGCATTCTGTTCCGTCTGCTTTCTTCGTCACGCGGCTCAGCCAATGACAAGGACGTGCCGAAACTGAGGCGTCATTGTTGCTATAACTACCGAGCCGAGCGTCGCGAGTGAACGTCTCCCCTTGCCCCTGTGTACTTTTAAACCGATGGTTGCTGCTATAAACGTGGGAGCTGCACTGTACATTGGACTACTGTAGTCAGAATCTTTGTTAGACTCAATTTTAAAATAATACTTGTTATCATAAATGTGTATTAAATCAATGTTGTGATAAGTAAATTTTAACACCCATTTTATGCAATGCGACACGAAATTTTGCTATTATTCACGTGTATAAGATAGAGTATATTTGAAAATCTTGCTCGGAACTTTGTTACAAACATTTTTTTCAATAAAACAGATTTGATAATATAAATGTTTTGTTTTGGAAGTGAAATTTTGTTATTTTATTTATCGAAGTAATTTTGAAAATTAGCATTTTGCATTAAAATAAGAAAATAATGAAATAATCATTCAGTAATTAAAATGTTTGATTCAATAATGATCTCAAATTTGAAACAACAAATCATTCTACGTTTGTTATCAGAACGCAACACAAAATAAATACATAAACATTTATTCAAGATGAAACACCTAATTTCTACATTTTAAATGATTATTTAATAATATGAGATGCTTTTCTAAAGAAAAACATTCCTGTTATCTTTAGCATCAATAATACGACTACTTTTTTAACTTGCAAATGTATTAGACGATGCCAATTAAAAATCTACAGATTAAGTATCTGAAGAAAAATCTTTCTTCTAAATAAATTTATAAAAATTTGCAAAATTAAAAATACTTTTTGTAACTTTTAAAGTAAACAAATAATGAATTCACAATAAACTTATAATTTGAAATGCTTGTCAAATAATTTCAATCAAGAATTTTAATTATTAAAAACCCGTGACACATACGTACAAACTAATATTTCAAATAAATAAATATCTTTTCTATACTCAAACATTCTTGCTAAAAATGAGGTATCGAAATCATTGTTCATTTTAACATCATAAAATTTTGAGATTCGGAGTACACAAGTTCAGTCAGAAAGCTACACACATGAAGAATCAACACTAGAACTACCATACCAGTAAAAATGACTGGTTTTAGTTTTTTTGCAGTTACTGACATCACGAATGTGTCATATACCCGGACTTAGTTTACAAATTATTAGTTACTTGCATACCACAACGAATATCCGTAGAAACATAAAAGAATCTATTACCATAACTTTGATAAAAATTGCACATCGATCATATCAAATGCTCGGTACAAGTGTTAGTATTCGTGGTTTCTGTTGTTCGTATGTAATAACGATAATCACGAAGAAAAATGTAATAAATCCCAACGCGCGATTAGATTTGTACAAGGCCATGTATCAATTTCTATTCTCATATTCGTGCGAAAACCTCGTATAGAACATCGAGGTCTACCATCGTCAATTTCACAGTTGTTGCCGGAATATCGGGCGTAACAGTGGCACTCGTAACGATCCTGCCGTGACACGCACTTGCCATGCATCATGCATGGCTCGAGATGACAGAAATCCGTGGCGGTAATTGCGCTCGATCCTACACCACCTCCGAGTCCGCTGGTACCACCTGAAAGTTTCGCAAAACAATGTCTGCCATGCAGTCAACTACTCGTACAATGTACGATAAGTGGCGCACAGAATCACGCGTTGCGCGGCAAGAGTTTACACAGGACCAAACTGACAATGAACTGTGCGTGATCTTCACTCCGAAAGTGTGCAGCGATCGTCTCTCGAATTATTCGACACCTGGCAAGCAGCTACGGCACACGAGCGTATCAAAATTTCAGATTTATCAGGTACTTGACGAGACTGAGAAATACAACTATTCTACGACCTTCCGTAAGTATAATTCGATTTTTAGTATTGGGACCCATAGAGATAACCTACTGCTCGAAAGTTGGGGTTTGTTTCTGATCAGGGACTGAAAACAGTTATGATGATATCGGTTCTGGTTCTTGAAACAATTATGAAGAATCGAAATAGAGTCACAACTGTCATTATGTAGGTTTTTAGGTATAGACAGTATATTGGTTTCGGTTCTGAAGAACCGGATATTATATCGGTTTTGTATCGGTTGTATAACTCTTATTTATCGGTCCTAAAAGAAATGCAGAACCACTATACGGCATTGAAAAATAACATGCAGAATCGGTATAATATTAGTTTCGAAGGACTGGAATCGAAACCGATAAATCTAATAACAGTTATGACTTTATTTCGATTCTCCATAACTGTTTTAGTTGAAACCGATATACCAGTAAAATTATCTAAGAATGAAAGTTGAAATATTTTGGAAGCTATTAGTTATATGAAAAAATGTTTCAGACAAAACTTGAAGAGTTATTTTGGGGACATTCGTCAGAATAATTAGCATTTTTGGACATGAACCCTTAAAGAAGATTTCGAGGTCAAGTTTGTCTTTTCAAATGGAATTTTATTATTTTTAAGGCAACAAGTGATTCAGTTCCTCATTGTCTACAAGAGAATAATAAACCATTTATACCGGAAAACCGATAACTTAGGAGATAATTTTAAGATTTTGCGATGTCATGCTCGTCCAGAGACAAATTCATACGTAATATTTCATGTATTTCAAATTCGATTTTATAGGGGTATTAAAATGTCTTCTAAATTAGTAGTTTTTCAGTACAATAGGTTTGTTACTTTCTTATAAAGAATGATGGGTTAAATCTACTGGTGTTTTAATAATTGTAGGAAATGATTAAAAAATAAAAATCAAACTTGATCTTTAAATGTTTTTTATGTGTTTACTTACGAAAATACCAGTTAGACTAATTAATGGTCCCCTAAAAACCATTCAAGTTTTATCTGACATATGTTTTCTATATAACTAGTAGTTTCCGAAATGTTTTAACTTCTAATCTTAAATGACTCACTCGGTATAACAGTTTCAATCGGTTATTTTCGGAACCTTTTCAATTCTTGTTCCTAATAATCATGATTTATGAAGGAAAATAAAATAAAATGATAATCCTGTCTGTGATTTTTGTCCTTAGTAAGTTTATCAGCGATCTTTTTCTATTAAGTTATTTTGGGCTGCCTTTTATTTCAACAAGCAACCATGTTTTATTGATTTTCTTATTCAACTCATCACAGAGTATAGTTTTATGGATTAAAAGATTTTAGTGTCTGAAATAATATTATTTGACTGGAAAAGTTATTATGCTTTTGTATTTGTGTTTGTATTTTCATTAGCTAATTTAAAACTTTTGTATAAAAGTTTATAAAGTTTATAAAAAAGGGAAGCTTTCCTTACGGCGAAGACGAGAAATTAGAATAATGCAATTGCACTTTGTAGATTGATTGATATAAAAGTGTATAATAACGAGTAATGATGTAGGGATAGTTTGAAATTAAAAAACAAAACAAAAGAATAATAGATCTTTTTGAGAAAAGTAGAACACTGACATGAAGACTAAAAGAAAGCAGAGAAGATAAATGTACGTTGCGATAAAGAAAATTGTGCCGTTTAATCAGTGATGGTGTCAGAGAAAACGAAAATCAATGTGTGCATTATTTAATATTAATATAATTGCAATAAACATAATCTTAATGATTTATTGAAATTACATTAATGTTAAATAATGGTTGCTACATTGCTTCTATTGTATGATATACGTTTCATACTCTACTTATGAAAGGAGAAGTTCATGTTTTTTGAAATCTAGTCCTGTTTTTTATATTAAATATAAATTTCATTATTTTTATTATTCATTTATTTTACTTTTTATATTTTACGTAGATTACTTATCCTAGAAAACTGTTTTTAATACTTTGCAAAGTTGAATGTTCATTACGTATCAAATTATCTAACACGATAAATGCCATTTTCAAAAACCGTAAATGACTGAATATTGTTTTTATCATTATTATCAACGTTCAGTAACGATATAAATGAATTTTAATAAAAATATTGAAAAGAAATATATCTAACTATCACACCGTATTACATTGATTATTGTATAAGTCAGGAAAAGTTATACCAATCATGAAAAAAAATGAATGAAGTGGAAGAATAAGTTTCCGTAATAAATACTGTAAGTTATTTAAAAAAATTGTTGATTTACAAGTAAATTGTTTAAAATTGAAGAAAATTTATATAAAACTATAAAAAATATATATAATATGCATTGCAAAACAGAATAACCATGAATAAAAAGTGTATTGAATTTGTATATTGTCAAAAATGAAAAAAAACAATAAAGTATTTATTATTATATTATAAACATTAAAAAGTTATGTATGGAATAAATCTCGTTTTAACAATATTTATGTTATCAATTTTCTTGTAAAATCAAAATTCTGCTGCATCAAAATATTACATATACAGTACCTAACTGTTTTAATAAATGTTACGTAAATTAAATGCCTTTTTATTAAATTTTCAGTATCGTTGCACGTTTATCGACCATGATATTTTACAACTGTGTATTTATCAAATCTCCTGCAATTGTAGAAAATTCTTTAAATCAAATTTTTACTTTAAATCAAATATGTTTCACATTCATTTTAAAACATTTCAAAAGTCTATTCTCTTGACTATCAATCTTTGTTTCAAGATCACGATGTACATTTCCCTAAAAAAAAAAGTGAAATTCTTACATCCTTTATTTTCTCCGGGACAGGGACCGAAGACGGCTCCATTATTGATAGTATCGTTAAACAGGAAGCCAGGACCTTGGAGAATGCATCCCCTAAATCCTTCTCCCACGATGAGAGATCCATTCATGTCATAGTCAGGCAGTGTAAGAATCGCAGCGTTGTAGGTTGCATTAGCTATTACCTGAACACAGGGATTAGAGATTAGCATCATATAATAAAATAAGGGTAGATATTAAATTCTTGAATAAATAGATTAACCCTTTTTTTAAACAGGTTAACGTAGATAATGGTTAATTAACATAGATGATAAATAGTATTAAATATTTTAATGAACAAATTTGAAAAAAGTATCCTGAGCTTACTGCATTTGCTACACAAGCAAATATTGTCCCAAGAAAGAAAATAAAATACTTCAAAAAGTATTATGAAGTTGTTAATAGATTATAAAATTGCCTGAAGTGATAAGGGTTAAGAATTGAATCTTTTGCAGTCATAATACTGTTTGGCATAGACACCTCATTGGTTGAAATTATAATATGTTAGATTGAAAAATATGTATAAACTAAATTAATGATTGCGCGAAAAATCGTAAGTTTTACTGAAACGAATTATTGCATTCTAATAATATACAATATTTTGTATTATATTTTTATAACGTTTTATAGTATCCTATTCTAAATACGTTCATAATGGCAAAAGGCTTTGTCGAGAATATGCCAGTCTTCCCTTGCACAGTTAAACGTAATGAACACATAGGTTACTAAAAGGTAGTTGATTTAGTTTAAACTTTGAATGAAACATTTAATTATCCGTTAAACACGTTATAATTGGAATAATGAAAGTTTTTTAAATATTTATATTTTTAGGAAATGCGTAAAAGTTCTTTAACAATCCTTGAAATATCATTACAAAGACATATTATGTTAATTAGTCAATTTTGTAACAAAAACTTTGTAACTGTATAATGAGAAGTATGACACAATGGATACTTCTGTGTAACACGTCCCAACAAGTTGTTATAAATTTGTACTATTTAATATATTGTTTATTCTGTTCTTCTTTAAATATAAATACCAAAACTGTATGTTAACGAAAAAGATTCTAATTTCTTCGGTAACTACAATACATAAATACTAATTTTACATGGTATTCCCCTGAATATTTCTGAAAAATATTCCTTCTTCTAATAATGAATGTTATTAAGCGTCAAAAATTTTAAAAAGTTCCAAAAAATGGCGTCTGCTATGATTACAATTATATCAGAAATTATGCAACAATTGATAATGTGTTTTTAAAATGAATGAAAACCAATAAATCTATTAAAAATCACCAATAACAAGAATGACGTGGTAATGTATATAATAAGATGATTATATCATACTTATAACATGTGCATTTTCATGCAAGTATACGAAGAAATATTTCGTATTTCATGGCACTTTCGTCGTAATATAATTTAAACCAATTAATTATTTCGCATGCGTTGTTTTAAAACAACGTTACAGCTAGGAGAATGAAAACCAATTAAATCGAAATTTTCAAGTGAACCGAAATGCAATTAAATCGATACAACGAAAAAATGATTAAGTGTCATTGTAATCGAAACGAAGTACATATTACACAAAACTTGAATTAATGTTATACAAAACATTTTACGTTATTTAATATCTCCTTTTATTTAATTAATTGTAATACATAAACATAAAAGTAGTTACTATAAAACAATATAAATTTTATATTATTAAAAATCAATCTTATTCAATCATTATTTTTTGTCTGCTATTTCCTTTCTATGATCTTTTTAAATTTTTATTTTCTCTTTTTTATTTTTATATTTCACTGACCGCATTTAATATAAATTATGTATAATATATTATACAACAACATAAATGTGCTGAAAAGGACTAGTTTAATCTGAGGGTTATGAATTAAATGAAACATTATTTGAATGATTACTCTGTTGGATAAAATAATAAGAAAAATAAATTTCCAATTCTAAACAAATCATACACGTTTCCAAAATATTATAAGCATTAAAACATATTTATTACTTTTTAATTTACAGGAAACGAATATTTACAAAAACTTTTAATTGATATTGGGTATTCAAAACTAGGAAAAGTTGTAAAAATTTATTAGACGGTATAATTATTATTAATCTCATTAATCTTTTCCATGGTTAAAATCAATTTAAAAAATTATGTAATTACAGCTAAGTGACTACAGCTAAGTAATTGCAGCTGAGTAATTACAAAATCGGGAGATCTTTTAGGTCAAATTTTTCAAATATTAAATGTGTTGTAATACACGTGTGATTTCAATGAAAAAGTCAGTAGACCTCTCCAATAGTGATACAAAAAGAGCAATTTTTAACGCACAAAAAATAATTTTTAACGCAATGAAAGCATACATCGCATATTTTTAGGTATGTTTGTAAATTAAAGGTTAAACAGCGTACTTAAAATTTTTCTTATTTCTGTCGTAACTAATCAAAGTTCTGTCAAACGTGTGCCGCTTTATCAAAGATATGCAAAGAATCGTAGTAAAATGGTTGTGCCGTGAATTACCAGTAGTTCTCCTCAAAGCTCGCAAATATTTAACAATCTGGAAAATTTTGGGTTTAATGGTTTAAAGGTACCATACACTTCCCACCCAACTGTGCTCTGATTCAGGGTCCTACGGCCTTGAATCAGTTGAACATAAAGTGGGCCATAAAAGCCTCCTATACTTCGCCTCCTATACACGCTACAGCGGTGATTAGTACTGCATAATATGTGTCTGCACGTGCGATACCTCTTGTGATTGTTCTAGCGGCGACTAACAGCATACAGTATAGAATAATTATTCAGAACGACATAAAAGTTTATAACACGTTCTAACGTACGTACTTGAATCATTCGTCTCGTACGGACTAACAAGGAAAACGATATCTAATAACTAGACCGCGGTATTTTATACATTTATAGGAAATTTGAAAGTGCAAAATTGCACAGAACACACACAATTTGGAAAATATATTATAATTCTTCACTACAAATATTTTCTTGCCTCTGTGCACTTTTAGCTTGACGAACCTGGCTTAAGACGTGAGAACTGCACTGGACATGAACTTTAAAAAAATGCACTTGATTACAAACTTTGGTTTAAAGAAGATTTTAGGTGACATTATAAATTTTTATTTATACGTTAGATTTTGTTTAATTTTTATACAATTTTAATTATCAATATTTTGCACTTGTATTATTTGTTGAGAAAAAAGGAAGGCAACATTACGCGGTATTCCCAGGCGGTCACCCATCCAAGTACTAACCACGCCCAGCACTATTTAACTTCGGTGATCGGACGAGAACCGGTGCATTAGAGCGCGATATGAACGTTGCCTAAAAAGTTCGGTACACAAATAAAATAAAACGTAACAAAACAATATACGAGGTAAAAGCTATATCGGCCGCTCGCTTCACCTCGATTCTTACAAGAAACACACTAGCTAAGCCACCGTGTATCCGTGATTCGGTAAACGTAAAAAGCCGTCGCCTCGGCGGAACGAAATCGACAACAATGTTCGTAAAGTGCAGCTCTGAGGACATGGCAGGCTACTCGCTAGCGATCAAGTCCGAGCGGCAAGACGACTCTTCCATTCTCGATGTTCGGACCGCCTCGGTCTTCGACGCGTGGTTGGTATTGGCCGCGTTGCACTAATGAAGGATGGAAACGAGACTGAATGCGGCAGAGTGAGACAGAACTATAGAGAATTTTGTTTTCTATTGTTACGTGTGACTTCATTGCATTCGGCTTTGTTTTCGTCCTTTGTTATCATAATAACCATGCGTCGAAAGTCGGACGGACCGAGTCTTGGGAAAATCCGCTTGTTCCTGTGCACTTTCAGCTTGGTGGTCGATGGAGCTAACGTGAGGGATATACAGTGTGCTATTCACGTGAGCCAAGCCGGCCAGTAGCTCAAAAGTGAGGAGAGGCAAGAGGACTCGGCCGCACGCTCCATCTCAGCTCGTGGCTCGGCCAGTAACAAAGACATGCCGAAACTGAGCCGCCATAACAATCGGGCCGAACGTGGCGAGTGAACGTCTCCCCTTACCCCCCAAACCACGTAGCCGATCGAGTGGGTTCCAGTTCGGAAGAGGCGAACTGTAAGTACATGTATACATAGAAAAGGCTGTAAGCTCTCTGTGCCCGATACCTGATCATACCAGCATTATAGCGCCGCTACACTATCGACAATTTATCACTAAAACTACCGTATCTTCAAAATGATGGGTTTTAGTTTTCTTATTTCTCAATTGCTCATATCTTAACACATTGAGTGCCGACGACCTAAGAAACATTTAAAGCCTGAGTGCCGGCAACATATTGGCTACTTAGCCCAAACGCCGGCCTCATTCGCTTGTATCTGATCAATGAGTAGTCAAGAAAAATATTCAAAACATTATACATTTTCGTAAAATAGTACATTTTCATTGCATATTCGTCATATACAATTTAACGGAAATCCAGAAATCCGCATTATTGCAGGGCCGGCGCTCAATGTGTTAAAAGTATTAAATATACGAAATAATTTAAAAAGAAACAATTTTATTCGAATGCTATAATGAATATGCGAAGAAATGAAAGAAAGTCTATTTTCACAATTTTTATAAGAATTATCAATGATATTAAACGCTAAATAGTTCTAGTGTTAACACATTATGCATCGACGCGGTTTTAACCAAATTAACGCTAAGGACCGGAATTTTTTTTTATTACAGACATTTCGGTTGAAAAAATGGTTGAGAGAACAGTAAATAAACATAAATAAATACTCATTCGATGATACAAAAAACACTACTGTGAGATGCGACGCGTAAGGATACCTCAGGTATACTGGGACCGTTTATGACCAGGCCACTTGGGACGCGGATGATTCGCAAGCGGACGATGATGGCCTGCAGAATCATGCCCCGTGTTGACGGGATTAGTATTTAAGATGATAGTAAAGCTTTTGGGGTACAGTGTAGTTTTGCGAGTTGCGAGGAATAGGACAGAGTAAACCAGCGTTGAACAGTGTAGTACCGCGTAGAATGGATATAGTATAGTTACGTAGTTTAGTTTCATTCTAGTCCAGTTATATTCCATTTAAATAAAATTACAATTACACACGCTTGTTTTCGTCAAACCTTCCAATCGCAC